AGACAGTTATCTCCTCTCAAGCGGTGTACTCTATCACGCCTCTCATCGTGCCGCCTAGCTCACTTCATAACCTAAACAAAATTGAGAGGGCTTTCCTTTGGTCCGACACGGATAAAACAACAGGAGCCAATTGCAAGGTTAATTAGAAAGTGGTGTGTAGACCAAAGGAGTACAGTGGTTTAGGAGTGCTCAATACAAACAAGTTTGCACGTGCTTTGCGCCTACGTTGCCTTTGGTATGAATGGACGGAGCCCCACAAACTTTGGGTGTGTTTTGGCAACCCGTGCACCGAGGATGACCTAGAGTTTTTCTATGCCTCTACCACTATCACCGTGGGTGATGGCGCAAGAACGCCGTTTTGGGACGCCCCTTGGCTTCTTGGGCGCAAGCCCAAGGGCATTGCGCAGCTAATCTACGAGGCATCGAGACGGAAGAATTGAAAGGTGCACGAGGCTTTTAGAGGGAATGAATGGATCCTCAAAATCTGCCACAACACCGCTATCTCTGGTGACCACATTCGGGAACTTTTCACTCTTTGGATGCTTGTGCATAACTTCCACCTTGATGAACAAGTCGAAGATGAAATTGTTTGGAAACATGCGAATGATGGAATTTACACGGCAGCCACCGCATTCAAGGATCAATTCCTTGGCTTGACCCTCTCTCCCATTGACTGCATGTTTGGAAGGTTTGGGCTCCTCCCAAGGTTAAATTCTTTGCTTGGGTTGGCATTGCAAGATAGGATTTGGATCGCCGATCGCTTGGAGAGGCACGGGTGGCCAAATTGTGACCTTTGCCCTCTTTGCAAGAGGGAGCGAGAAACAGGTGCTCACCTTTTCTTCAAGTGCTGCTACACGATTAGGCTTTTGGAGGGCCATCATCGAGAAGGGTGGCTTATATCACATGGATATCTATACGTGGCACCTTGACGAAACCGTCAACGAGTAGTGGGACAAGAGAACCGACAATAGCAATCCTATTTGGCATTGCCATGGCCTCCCTTACCATGCTTGTCTCTTCGACCATTTGAAATGAAAGAAATGCTAGAGTGTTTCGTCACAAAAGCATGCCACCGCCTATTCTCCTTAACATCATCTTGGAGGAGGCCAAGCTTTGGGTTACCATGGGTGCTAAGAAACCAGGGAATTTGTTGTCAGTTGAGTAATTGTCATGCCTTTTATGGGTGTTTGTAAAACACTCTAAACTCTATTCTTTCCTTATTTAATGGATAGGGCAAATCTTTTGCCTCCGTTTCGAAAAAAATCATGCCCAAGAAAATAACAGAACTGTCAACTGCAAACAAATAAGCAACCAATCAACAGTTTCATACTCATTTCAGATATAAGCAATCTACTCCCTCTGTACTTTATTTGTCTAAACGCTCTTATATTTTTTATAAAGGGAGTCTTAAATAACTCTGACACGGTCGCAAGCAGAACTAAATTAGTCCACCTTTTTCCTAGGGGTAAGGCCTAATTTTATTAATCAAAGTCCACAAAATGTGGGATAACATTATCGTCATGTGGTTGGCCAAACCACACATAATGCCTAGAAACTAAATTCAAAGCATATCTAGCTAAACCATGAGCTTCTACATTGCTACCTTGACCTTCAAAAATAAATTCACAAGAAAAAGAAGTACTATGATCATTAATCTCTCTAATGATGACTGCATGTTTTCCATAGTTGCCTTGCTCGATGTCTCTGATAATCTGTTTAGCATCTGATGCCACCACGAACTGTTGGATGAGGAGATCCTCGGCGCCCCTCTGCACGCCATTGTTTCCCAGATAACCTGAGGGCCTCATGCTCTCTTCAGCAAATTCAGGTCGTGCTAAATTCGCAAAATGCAGACATGACATGCAAAGCCCACGGGCCAATCTACCATGGCCCACGGGTATCTACTAGATAGAGACACTGTTCACGGCTCACACACACTTTTGGCTCAATAAAAAAGGCTCACACACTTTTGGACAAAGGCTCACACACACTTCTACTCTTCTAGCTAAAAAAAAGGGCTCACACGCACTTCTAGCTAAAAAAAAGTCTCTCACACACTTCTAGCTAAAAAAAAAGTCTCTCACACACTTCTAGCCAGACTACTAGATTTTTTTTGTCACGATAGAGACTACGTTCACTCCCACAATGGACTGATGTACGGTTGCTCCGCGGACGCCTCGGCGCCGTAGGATGGGTAGAAGGAGCAGTAGCTTCTCCCTTCGTCCCACTCCACGGCCATGCCGTCCGAGTACCACTCCCCCACGCAGTCGCCGTTGAAGAAGCCAAAGCCGGCGCCCTCCATCTCCTCCGCCCAGTACCCCACGGCGTTGCCGACGTCGTCCAGGACGTACGGCCCCGGCGAGCACCCGCAGCCGTCGAAGCCGGACACTACGATGCCGTCGAGCCCGCAGTCCTCGCAGCCCGCCTCCTGGTGCGGGTGGATCGAGTTCAGCTCCTGTAGGCCGTCGTCGACCCAGCCTTCGCCGACGTCCTCGGCCGGGAAGCCGAGCTGGTGGTGCTTGCCGCCGAGTGCCGCCGCCTCCTCCTCCTCCTCGGCGGCGAGCGACGCGTCCAGGAGCTCGAGGAGCAGCTCGGCGCCATCGACCTCCGGTACCTCCGTGACGCAGTGCTCCCGCTCCTGCTGCAGCTCCACGATGCACTCCATACTGAATATTGCTCGTTCCTTTGTGTGCAGAGGAGAGGAGAATGTTGTTCAGGTGTGTGTGGTGTGTTGATCATGGCAGGGTGGTGCGGTGTGGTGTGATGATTTCAGTGGGAAGCGTTTTATAGCGCGGGGTGGGGTGGGACGTGCCAGCTGTGTGGGTGCCGAATTAATCGGCAGGATGGCATGCATGTGGACCGCGCACCACTTGACGGCATTGATGCATGGCTAGTGCTGCTTGCCGTGATCAAGGGTCGATTTGCTTCTAATGGGAGCGACCTAATTATTCCGTGCATGCATGCGGCTTGGCCATGTTGCATTTGCACGTATTGTCACTCCAGCTTGAGAGCGCCACAAGGCTTTCTTAGGCCTTATACAATGCAAGGTGCTTAAGACAGGTGTTTGAAAAAATAAATCAGATTTTTTTTAAGCACCGGTGCTTATTTGTACAAAGCAGATGCTTATTTAGGCGTCTCTTCTGTAGAAATAGGCACCGGTGCTTCAGAAAAAACCTGATTTATTTTTCTAAGCACCTAACATTGTACAAGGCCTTAGGCCCTGTACAACGGCAGGTGCTTGAGAAAAAAACCAAGTTTTTTCTATAGACTGGATTGCACGAGGGAAATCCCTATTCGCCGCTCGCTGCGGCAAAATGTCGGGCTACCGCACAGGGCAGCGCAGCGAGCGACAAACCTGGGCCGCCCACTAATACATATTGCGTCCAACCAGTTTTGGGAACTTTCTAGAAGGTTCCCTGAACCGGTTTTTTGCCTGTATCGCTTCTTCTGGTTCTTTTTCGGCTTTCTATTGTTTTTTCATTTCTTTTTTTTCGTTCCTATTTCTTTTTCATATTTTTCGTTTTTGTTTTTTGTTTCATTTTCTTTTTCAAGTTTATTTTTCTTTCTCAGAACTTGTTCGTGGTTTTACAAAAAATTACGATTTTCTTTTTTATTTCTTTTTCTTTTCTTATCTTTTTTTTAAAATTGAAAAATTTTAAATTATGTTCGTGTTTCCAAAAAATGTTCTAAAAATTCAAAATCTGTTCTCGTTACACAAAAAGGTACAAATCTTTCAAAATTCAGACCGAATTTCAAGTTTTTGTTCACACATTCAAAAAATGTTCGCGCTTCCAAATTTGTTCCGAATTTTTCAAAATTGTTCTTCGTTTCAAAATATGTTCTCAAAATTCAAAAAATGTTCGTACTTTAAAAAAATGTTTGCGCTTCCAAATTTGTTCAGGATTTTTCAAAATTGTTCTGTGTTTCAAATTTGTTCTCAAGATTCAAAAAATGTTTGGGAATTGAAAAAAATGTTCCAGCTTTCCTAATTTGTTCACAAATTCAATAATAGTTCATGTTTTTCAATTTTGTTCACAAATTCAAAAAATGTTCTGGAAGCTTCAAATAATGTTCACAAATTCAAGAAATGTTCCCTTTTTTCAAATTTGTTCACATCATTAAAATGTTCCTGTTTTACAAAAATTGTACGAAAATTCAAAAAATGTTTTTATTTTGAAGAAAATATTCATAATTTCGAAAAATTCAGTTGTAGGAGGTCGTTGATTCGACCCAATAAATGGACTGTAGGATTTTTTGCGAATTAATGTTTAAGTTTAGTCTCTGTTGTCTACGTCTTTAACTGTCGCACTGCGAATTGGACATGAGATGGTCTGTGTCGCAGTGGTTTACACGGCAAGCGAATTTGTGTGAAGTCTCTGTTCGAGCTACACAAAAGAAGAAGAAAAAAAGCCCAGCTAGCACCCCCGTAAAAAGCACTCTGCGTTGGGACGCAACAAAATTTTTGAGATGCGGCGCATCTAGCACCGGTGCACAGGCACCTGCGCTGGACATGGCCTTGGGGTGTGTTCAGTTGAAACGAGAGAGAGGGACGGGTTGGGATCGTCCATTTTCTGGTGTTCGGTTACAAAGCTAACGTGTTGTCTCGGTCAACTATATAGAATATACCTCAAAGATTCCGGACCCGCTAAAATCCGTCAGATGAAGCTGCCACCCTTTGCATGGATGGCCATGTGAAGAGGCTGTGGTTCTAGCCCGTGGTCTCATCTCAAATGAATCATCTCTTGCATACAGTCAAATACATGGCTTGACTGTTCTCAACCCAAAAAGATTGGAGGATGAGAACCCATCCATACCTGGCCTTCAACCAAACACACCCTCAGTTAGTTCTAATGACCATCAAGGCATACATCTATAGAAAGTTTCGAATGTCGGAGCATGAAACTTAAATATGATAGTAGACGTTGTCGTAAGACACTTCCCCTGTTTTGCGGTTTGTTAGACTTTTGAATTTTTTCCCTCCTAAATCAACGCTGACAATCACGTGCAAGGAAAAAAGGACGAGACGGTCTTAACTGAAAAATGACTATTTGAAAGTTGACTGAACAATAGATAGTCCTTGTGTGTGTGTTGTCAGTGGAATAGCAAGGTCTGGGCCACGCCCCGGGCCAACCTTCTTAGCTACAGTAATTATGGCTGCTACAGTGACACTTGTCTACAGTACACAAAGGACTTCCTAGCCACGCCCCAGCCCCCAGACCATGTCCCTTATTGCCCGGGGCCTGGCTACGCCCATGTGTGTTGTTTTCCTCTAACTCTGCATGGTTTCAATGAAATGAAATCAGGGCAACCTATAACCCTAAAAAGTTGAAAACAATCTGTACAAAATATATGTATTTTCTCTGACTTATCTTAGGTTAACTAGTCATGTGCACTTGCAAAATATCGGGTTACAATATACCTTAAGAAGTTGAGTACGTCGGAGAACACAAGTGACATATCAGTGGATAATTATACAACAAGGAGGAGAGAGGTGGCAGGCAGGAGAAGTATCATGAGGCGACGGTGCATGGTTGAGGGGCATCCATATTAGGAGTGTTCCTTCGCAGGAGAAGGGCCCACCTTGAATGAGAAGGGTTCAAGCACTACGATGCGTCAATAAAGGGGCATCGTCCTCGAGTCTACTTATTGTGATTTCATTCTTGTAATCATCTGAACCATCAAAAATACTACCGTCTCTTTATTCAACGTTCGCAATAGATGCTAACTATTTTCCACAAGCTAATATCATCTGCACCTTGTTGGATTTGACACTCTTAATTTCAAAAAAAATTCTATAATCAAACCCCATACACTTGTGGTGTGTCATCGTCCAGGGCTATGTCGCACAAGAGTCGTTGAGTTATCTACAAATTACGTGGTTGATCAAAAACATATAGAGGTGCATGTTTTGTGCCACACGTACAGGATCAATGGTAAAGAATATGGATGTGAAAATGTGGATTTACATTTCTATAATTAAATACCCCAAAAAAGCATATGACTATGGCAGAGCACACGTGGTGGTGTTGCAACATCTCACTATGGTGTGGCCTTACACTTAGATGCACATGGTACTATTGAAAAAGGAGAATAAAAGGGAAAACAATTCCGCTCTTAAAAGAACGCAACACAAAGTATGTTGTCTGGCTATAAGTCTACTAGAAGTCTAGAACGAAAGACCTCCTGGAAATGAAGAAGAAGAACGGTCAAAATGTTGTCAGAGGAACCAAATAACTTATCGTAACATTTCAAACTTGCAAACTCGATCGCTCATCATCTGTCGTTCAAATCGAATTTCTGATGCATCCCATTCGTAGTGAAGTGACCGTATCTGACAACGCTATACTCCCACATCCTCTTATCCACTCTCTAGTTGACAACTAAAGATTTGAGTGTGTTAGTCCATTCGCGGGTTGGTTTTTATATAGAGAGATTCGGTATTTTCTATAGGATCAACGTACACAAATCCACTCAAAATAAACAAAAACATGCACAACTTAATGCCTCTAGATCTCATACTTAACTCACAATCTACCGGTGGTGTATTTCTTGCAGGAAGCACAAAGATTCAGCTTGTAGGTGGCGCATGTTACTAGCCATTACTAACACATAAAGATTCAACTTGCAAGTGCACGTTACTAGTCTTTGACACGTGCATTGAATTTGTCAAAAAAAAATTAGTTAGAGTTATTATAGATGAAAAATTGTAGGAATTTAAGATTTCAAAAAATCTACTGATGTCTTTATCTTTACCATTAAAGTTTAGTTAGTGCTCACGATCTTCATGTCACCTCCCCTTCACCCCACCTGGTCCCAACCGATAGATGCAACATTGCTTCACGCCTTTCGATATGTCGCCCAACATAGCAACAGATGGTTTACCATATGTTGTTTGTTATGACACTCCATACCATCATCTGCGTTAGAGCTAGCAATTACTAGTTATGAACGAATCTCCTCTACATTCAAACCAGATGATTTCACTCTCAATCTACTCTCAGCAAATCATGGCTTCTCCTACCTCTCGTCCAATACCACCCCACGCCGTCTTAATGTGTCGCTCCGTGCATCCAATCCACTCATGTTCATCGCCACTAGCCTACTAGGGACGATAGGCTGCCCCTTCGGAAGTTCTCGGAGATTAATGCATAGGTAGATGAGGTCCTCACTACTAGGAAAAGGGCTATAGCTAATATGGACATTAATGTCGCACCACATATGTGATGCGCCACGCACCATGTGTAGGTACGTCATTAATGTCCATATTACTAATGACACACCACACTCACGGTGCGGCACTACTAACAAATTTTTTTCCAAAACTAGTAATGGCGCACCAGGGCATAGTGCGCCATTACTAGTTTTAACTACTAATGGTGCACCACACACTCTGTGCGCCATTACTAACATTTTTTTATTTATTTTTTCAAAACTAGTAATCGCGCACCACAACCACGGTGCGCCACTACTAACAATTTTTTTTTATTTTTTTTTGCAAAACTAGTAATGGCGCATCACGTAACAGGTGCACCATTATTAACCAGGGTTACTAATGGCGTATTGTTAGGTGGTGCGTCATTACTAACATTCTTTGCACCCCCCACCGCCTTTTTAGTTTTAGAAAAAATAAAAGAAAATGATGGAAATATAAAAAATAAAAGAAAATAAGTTTCCCATGTGATATGTGGTCTAGTTGTTGGGAAAATTTACAAATATGAATTTCGACTTTATTTGCAAAATCTTTCTGGATTTAGTAAAATGGGCATAACTTATGCATACGAACTCGGATTAAAAAGTTTTTTTATATGAAAAATCATCTACTCAAAAAGTTACATCTGAATTTCAGAATCCTCAAAAACCTAACAGAACGAAAGATACGGGGCTTTTAAGATATAGAGGGGGGGATGAAAAAAAATTCAAACTTAGTAGTGGCGCATCATTTGCTAGGTGCACCACTAGTAACAGAAGAAAAAATTGGTTCCAAATTTTATTTTATTTTTGAATTTTTTTTCAAAATATGATACATAATATGACCAGGAAGTTTGAAATATTTTTTTCAAAATTTCATCACACTTATGAACATGAACAAAGTCCTAGACATCAACAAGGTTTAATATGATTGATATGATAGATATATTAACAAGTGCCTGTTAAGTGAGTTGGTGCTGGGGTTGGATAGAACTGCGAAGTTAAGCGTGCTCAAATGCGATTTGACTTGAGATTAACCATATTGACCCGAGATTAAGCCATAGTGACCCGCCATTACTATTTGTTACTACCGGCGCATCTATAATGCGTCATTAATGGCAAAAATAGGTGTGCCACTAATTAGCCTTTTTCTAGTAATGCCTCCCCGCCCAATTGCAAATCTAAAATGGAATCTATAAATGGCATAGCTAAACCTCAATTGGGAATTTATGATCCACGTAGCATCTATCCATAGCACGTATACATACACATCTGAGATCCATTTCCCAGACATACATACTCGAGAAAAGTTGTAATTGGCGTTTGTTTTTCTCCATACCGATATATGTGGGATATGTGACATGTTGTGCTCAAGCAGATGGTCTGCGGCAGTCTCCATCGACTAAGTTGTTGTGCTTCCCGTGCAGACATGGGGCTGACCGACTGACCACGTCGCCTACTAGTTCCAAGGGTCGGCCTGTTCACCATTGATGATCAGTGTGGCAGCTTTAGCTGGCCGGCCGGGTTCAGCCGCCCGAGACGCTGCAAGAGAGCTCGGTCCACATCGATTCCACAGTTTGCAGCTGTACTAGAATTCTAGAAAGCATGACCATGATTGATCCTTTTCGAAAAGAAAAATGACCATGGTTGATCCGGTGCAAAGGTGAAACACGAGGAAGGAGTGGGGAGAAAACAGCCCGTGTCCTCGGCTCCTGGACTGCTCAACCCAGCAGCAGCCGCCGTGCCGTGGTAGATCCCAGTATAGTGAAGGTCCGTTGGTCCGTACTGTTTCTGTTGGTACCACGGTAGAGTGGCTAGTGGCTAGCGCGAGAGTAGATAGCACCGTGGAGTGTAGACACGAGCCTACCGGTGTACGTACATGTCGTCTACCACGTGGGACTGGTGCTTAAATCTACAGAGAGGGTGGATAAACCTTTTAGGTCCGGCTTGATTTTGCTGGTGAAGCACATGCGTTCGTTCATTTTTCTTTGGACGATTGTTTCAGAAACCAAAATTGGCAACAAAATTCGCCCACTCTAGCGTGCATTCCGTCGAATAGTTAGACCAAGTACAATAGCAGACTTATAGCCTGCTTGTATGGTAATTTTGCCTATATGAAGAAGGGTGACATGCAATTTTGCCTAAAGGGGTGGGTTTTCATGCAAGAGACTGGCTATATGCGTACTTCCGTACAGATGCAATAAATATAAAGAAAGAGATAGAGAGAAGATGAGAAAAGGTACTATTCCCTCTGTTTTTATTTAGTTCACGTATTAGCTTTGATCAAAGTCAAGCTTTATAAATTTTGACAAAGTTTCTATACAAAAATATTAACATATACAATAACAAATAGATTCATTATTGAATGTACTTTCACATCATATAGATTTGTTATAATAAATGTTTTTATTGTTTTCTATAAACTTGATCAAACTTTACAAAGTTTGACCTCAGTTAAATCTAACATGCGGAGCAAATAAGAACGAAGGAAGTAATAATCTTATAACTACCTTAGCTAACTTTGTTGTATGAGTGACTATGTGTTAGCTAAAGATGATATAGCAATATCTTATAGCCATTATAGCCAGCAGTTGGTTGTATTATTAACCATGCTCTTAGATCAATGTAATTAGGTATGACTATGGAGCAGTGCCTACATGTTTGGGTCATGCTCCTGCCGGGCGTGCCGGCAAGGAGCGGTCCTGCCACCGTGCCGGCCCCTTGCATGCCCTGCCACGGCGCGCGACATGGGCGAGAGGGAGATGGGTGCCACCGCAACGGCGAATCATTTTGCGGCCTCGTGGCACCAGCTGCTGCTTTTTTACCATCCCGGAGTGTGGTCGCCCGAGATCCAACATGGTGCCAGCCACGGATGGCTGAAATGCCGCCTTCTACTTCGTCCACGAAACGAGCTCCGGTAAGCTGACCGCCTTGAATATCTAAACAAACTGGCATCTCCAGACAATAATGCCAACCTCATACTGGTCGGAAAAAGTTCACGCGAGACTAATGGATCTTCCACCTATAGAAAATCGGAAGATCCCTTTTTTTAAGCCGTACTTGGTTTTCCCCTATCTGTCTGGCAACTGAAGAAGACGGACTTCCAATTTCTTGTTTGCGAGCAAGTTGGCTACTTATGAAGTGCAAAACATAACAACCATTAGGCGTACAGCTCTAGTAAAATCTGTCATCTCCTCTCTCGTGGTCTACTTTATCACTTCGTTGGTCGTCCCACAGAGCACCTTGCAAAATGTGAACAAGATAGAACGAGCTTTCCTTTGGTCTGGGACAGATAGAACCACGGGTGCAAAGTGCAAAGTAAATTGGAAAATCGTTTGCCGCCCGCGGGAGTATGGTGGCCTTGGGGTTCTCAACACCGACAAGTTTGCTCGCGCCATGCGATTGAGATGGCCATGGTTCGAATGGACGGAGCCAAACAAGATGTGGGTCGGTTTGGGCAACCCATGTGACGAGGAGGGCCTATACTTCTTCTACGCCTCGACCACCATTACCGTCGGGAATGGGGCGAAAACACCTTTCTGGGACTCCCCTTGGCTACATGGAACCAAACCAAAGGATGTTGCTCCCCTAATCTTTGAGGCTTCCATGAGGAAAAAAATTGGAAGGTGCGGGAGGCCCTAAAAAACAATGCTTGGATTCTCAAGATCAACCCCTCCACGGTCATCTCCATCGAGCACATGCGGCAATTCTTCACCCTTTGGACGCTCCTACATAACTTCCATCTTGATGAGCTTGCCGAGGATACTATTATATGGAAGCGCAAGGCCGATGGACACTACACTGCAGCCTCCACCTATAAAGCACAATTTCTTGGGTTGGTCCTCTCTCCCATGGAGCACATGATTTGGAAGGTCTGGACGTCGCCAAAGGCAAAGTTCTTTGCTTGGTTGGATACCCAAGATAGAATCTGGACAGCCGACAGGCTTACCAAGTAGGGATGTCCAAATTGTGGTCTTTGTCCTCTTTGTAAAAGGGAGCAAGAGAGCGGACCCTACCTTTTCTTCAAGTGCCGCTACACCATTTGGCTTTGGAAGATGGTCATTGAGAAGTTACGGGTTGAGCAAATGGACACCTCCTTGTGGCATTTGAATGTTTCCGTCAAAACTTGGTGGGAAAGTGTGACCGACACAGAAGTCCCCGATAGAAAGGCGATGGCCTCCTTGACCATGCTCGTGACTTCGATCATCTGGAATGAAAGAAATGCTCGGGTCTTCCGGCATAAGAGCGCCCCACCGCCAATTTTGCTCACTATCATTACCAACGAGGTAATCTTTGGGTCACCGCCGGAGAAGAAAATTAGGGTCTATTATTTTACGTGAGTAATCCTTCAT